CAGACCTCTTTGGTTAGCTAGTGCTGGGAATTAAAGTTGTATGCCACCATGCCTGGCTCTGTTCCCAGTGTGGCCTTGAACTCCCAGAGATCCAGATAAATCTGTCCTTCCTGAATACTGGGATTAAAGGTGTGTGCTACCACTGCCTGATTTCTATGTTTACTATAGTAGCTGGCTTTTCCCTCTGATCTCCAGATAAGCTTTATTGGAGTGCACAAATAAAATATCACCACATTTCCCCATTTTTTTTTGTCAAAAATAGAAAAAGTTATAACTAATACAAGAAAAACTATATACAGTAAATACAATAACTATATACAATATATACAGTCAATAAATACATCAACAGTGTCTAGTCCATTTGCATTTGACAAATTCAGCAAAAATATTCCATTATCTATCCTATTATGGTGAGTCCAAAATGTACCTAATTCACTTTCTATCCTAACTTGTATTATCAACCGAAAACTATTTTTGATGTCTTTCAAACTTATACACTTTACACCTCTTAGTCAGTTTCTTTTCTGAATATCTTTTGTTTTGTTTTGTTTTCGAGACAGGGTTTCTCTGTGTGTAGTTTTGGTGCCTGTCATGGATCTCAGTCTGTTGACCAGGCTGGCCTAGAACTCACAGAGATCTGCCTGGCTCTGCCTCCTGAATGCTGGGATTAAAGATGGGCGCCACGACTGCCCGGCTCTTTTCTGAATTTCTTAATAAGGAAAACTATAACTAAACTATCTAATCTTCAACTCCCTCAGAGACCCAAGAAGGAAATAATATGAACTGAGTAAAATGGAAATGCAAACAAGCAACTTCCAAAAAATGTGAGTTATGAATGACAGAAACAGCTAGCTTCCTGTACAGTCACCCGAGGTTCCTATGCAACATCGAGGCATCCATTCTTCGGGCTACAGGCTTAACATATCTCACAGACTCATCTGTGAAGCAGGATTTTTAAAAGAGCCTTCCTACCTTGTCTTGGCAAGGATCGGCAGTCCTTTCTTTTTGTCCTGCTTGTCCATTTTAGATAGCATACTGTCAGCAGTTGATGGAAGGGCATTTTCTTGCCCTGTGGCTAACTTTTGCCACAGTGAAAGTAAACTCCATATGGAGTTTCTTCAGTGCCCATCATCTTATCTGAAGTAGATTGGTGCTGCCAAGAGCAAACATGTCTCATAGTCATAAAAAAAAAAAAAGAAAAAAATATCTATGTGTTTAAATGTCATATTCTGCAGATATCTGGAGTGTTTGAAGATGACCTGCCTTTTTCTAAAATATATCTGTTTGACCTTGAAAACATACCCAATATGACTACAAGTTCAATTGTAATGGCTGCTAACTTTCATTTCTTTATTATCCTAAATAGTTGGTAATAACTTTCAAGGACTAGAAGATTGCATTACATTGTTAAATGATCTATATACGTACAGTACCTTGAAAAAGATTAGAAATATATGTACATTATTTTCTAACAAAATCAAATCTAAAATTTGAATTAATATACAAAATTTGTATACAATATACAAAAATCCAATCCAATGTAAAATATTTAAACCTAGTTATTTCCTCCTAAAAGTAGATTCAATAATCTACCTTTTTATTTTATAATCTATATAAATCAATCTCAAATTTTTAGCTATATACATAACTTGTTTACAATATTGAAAAATCCAATCCAATGTATTTAAAACTAGTAGTTTTCTAAAAGTAGATTCAATAATCTAACTTTTAATCTTATATCTATGTAAATCACTCTAAAATTTGTAGCTATATACATAATTTGTATACAATTTACAAAAAATCCAATCCAATGTAAATGCTTCCTATTCCTGATTATATCTTGTAACTAAGTAAATAACAAAGTTAATTCTGACTCATCAGGGATAAATTGTACTGTTTCAACATGTAAGACCATCTTTCAGCACACTGAGAGTCAGGAACTGTGTTGAGAGGTTTGAAAAATCCATTAATACCATCAGAATAGCATATAATTCCAATTTTTGAACCGAATTATAAGGACTTTGAACCACTTTACTTAAATTTTCTGATTTGAAACCTGCCTTTCCTTGTTTGTTTGTGTCTATAAAATGTAGGAGCTCCAGTTAATGGTGTTTCCCATACACTGCAAGGCAGGATCCAGTTATCTTATTTTGTATGTTTAATTCTATCGCTTTTGGGATATTTGTTATTAATCTCTCCCAAACATTTACTGCTATCTCTTCGCCAAGGTTCATTTTTCTGCCCCTAATTTGTCAATTTCATCATTGGTTGAAGGTACTACAATTTCTGTTGGGTCTGTTCCTGAAGTCTCAATTTTTCTTTTACAATCAACTCAGAGATCTTTTCCATGTAAGTTTTTAATTTTTTACCCTGGTTATTTGGTAGAAATATCCATTCTAATATAATATCTTTCCTCTGCATTAAAATTCCTGTAGGAGAATGGTTAGAGGGTAAAATAACCAAAATGCAATCAAACTTTGGATCCACTTGATCCATGTGTGCATTCTGTATTTTCTTTTCCATCAAAGCCAATTTTCTCTCAGCTTTAGCTGATAATTCTCTTGGACTATTTATATCCTCTAAGGTTTTGAACAAATTACTCAGTTCATCATTTTTTTACCCCAACAGCAGTCCGCAAATAGGAAATGTCTCTGATTAATCTTTACAAGGCATTAAGAATTCATAATCGATCTCTTGTAATTTGCACTTTTGGTGTCTAATTTTTTTGTAGACCTATTTTATATCCTAAATAATTAATAGAATCTCCTTTTTGTATCTTTTCAGGAGCAATTTGTAATCCCCAACAAGGCAAAATTTTCTTTACTTCTTCAAACATTCTTTCTAAGGTATCTGCATTTGAATCAGCTAGTAAATTATCATCCAGTAATGATAAATTATAGATTCAGGAAATTGTTTACATATTACTTTTGATGACTGTTGTACCAAATATTGGCACAGGGTTGGGCTATTTATCATTCCCTGTGGGAGAATCCACCATTGATATCTCTTAACCAACTGAGAATTATTATAAGTAAGCAGTGTGAAGGTAAATCTTTCTCTGTCTTTTTATTGTAAGGGTATTGAGAAGAAACAGTCTTTTAAATTGATAACTATAAGAGGCCATCCTTTAGGTAACAGAGTAGGCAAAGGAATTCCAGATTGTAGAGAGCCCATTGGCTGAATTACCTTTTTAATTACTCTTAGAGGTCTGTTACCATTCTCTACTTACCAGATTTCATTTTAATAACAAATACACGAGAATTCCAAGGGCTGGTTGATTCTTTAATATGCTGATCATACAACTGCTCTTGTATCAGCTCTTCTAAGGCTTGTAGTTTCTCTGTTGTTAAAGGTCATTGCTGAACTAATACAGGCTTGTCTGTTAACCATTTTAAAGGTAGATCTGTTGATGTCTTTGAAAGATCAGCAGTTGTTGTGCCCTGTTCTTGTACAATCTGGATGGCTGATGACTGTTCTTTATAATACCTTCTAATATTTTTCTCAGAAACATGTATTAGTTTATGACCTGTTTCTGAAGGTGGAGGAATGTTAATCTGGGTATTGCATTGTAATAGATGACGGCTCCATAAATTCATAGCCATATTAGGCAAATATGGCTTTAATTTTTTTCTCTGTCCTTCTAGCCCTATACATTTGATCCATCTTGTATTCTGTTTCACTTGAGATAATGTTCCATTCCCTAACAGTTGATCATTTACCTCCTGAAGAGACCAATTTGGATTCCAAGATTCTGGTGCAATTATTATTACATCTACACCTGTGTCTACAAAACCCTCCATGAGAATGTCATTCATTCATATTTTTAATTTTGGTCTTTTACATTTATAGAAATTTGCCAGAAAAAATTGCTTTATGGTTTCTCCTGAATTTTTTGTTTTCTCTGTTAAAGCTCTTCTATCATTCTGAGCAGTATGGGTTTTGTACAATAAGCATTTGGTTATTTTATTGCTCTTGGAAGGGGTTTCTTCTATGATGGCAGGAAAGGACTGAACTGAATTTGCCATGGGGAATTGTGAGAGGCCCCTCCGGGAGTTTCCAGATGACAAAAGCAAAGGATTCCCTTGTCTGTCCCTTGTTGATCTTCATTCGTTAGTCCAATGCTTGTTTTTACCAAACCTTCTGCATAATCCAGAAGGGATGGGCATTCTGTTGCCATTGTTCCTTGAAGAAATGTTGTTTCTAGGAATGCCCTGTTTACAGTCCCTTTTTAGGTGACCTTGTTACTGCAATTAAAGCATCTGACATTATTATTTTTCTTCAAACCTCTGATAATCACCTCTCCTATCCAAGTATCATCATGGTCATGAGATTCAATATTAATTGTATCTCAGATCCATTCCTTCATGGGTGCTAATATTGCATTTGACAGGCTGATTACTCTTTTTAGCATTCTCAAAAGCCAGAGATTCAATTATTATCTGTCTAGCTTCTGAATTTGACATCATCTATTTACTGCTGAAGACTACCTCTGTAAGATACCTGTGAAAGTATTATTATGTTATTTAAGTTATTATTATTATGTTAAAGATAGGTTTCTTTGGGGCCCTGTATAACTTTTGTAAATGCCTGTTTTCTTTCCTACTTCTTCAATTCTGTCCCAAGCATTGATGGCTGCCATGCAGTATAGAATTAGCATGTGTTCATCATATAAAGATTGTCTTTGTATATCAGTGTAATCACCTTCTCCAAGAAGTTAAACTTGGAGCTCTATCACTTACTATCTGTCTGTACAGACCTCCAGACCTCTATGGTTAACTAGTGCTGGATATAAAGTTGTGTGCCACCATGCCTGGCTCTGTTCCCAGTGTGGCCTTGAACTCCCAGAGATCCGGATGAATCTCTGCCTCCTGAATGTTAGGATTAAAGGTGTGTGCTATCATTGCCTGACTGCTATGTTTAGTATAGTGGCTGGCTTTTTCCTATGATCTCAAGATCAGCTTTATTGGAGTGCACAAATAAAATATCACCACATCAAATACCTGATCTTAAAGGTGGAAAAGGTTCATTTTGCTTTACAGTTTGAGGTGATATAGTCATTCATAGCAGGAGATGGTGTGGCAGCAGCAGGCTGAGACTTCTGGTCACATTGTACCTGCAGTTAGGAAGTAGAGAGTAGACAGGAAGTGGGGCCAGGCTATCAGATCTCAAGCCTCCTCCTATCCCCAGCAACTCAATTCCTTCAGCAAGATTCCACAGCCTTCCTAATCAGTGCCCAAACACAAAAGCCACAACATTCTCCAACATTGTAACCTGAGCTTTGGTATTAGAAGTTAATTCAGTAACCTCTCCTAAATTATTCAGCAAAATATATGTGGTGCTCCTGCTCTCCAAAGTACTGTGCTGAACACTGGGTAAGAGCAGGTGCAGTAGACTTTAGAGAGGATATTAAAGTGATTAGATTTGTGTTTCCAGAAGAAACTTTGATTTTCCAGGAGATTGAGAGCAGTCCAAAGGCTGTTATAACTCATGATGGAGGTGATTTGTGTCTGAACCAACTTGTTTAACCTCCTTAGGCAGTAACCTGGAAATTCAAATTCTTGTATGTTCACCTACAAAGTCAAGTGGATAATAGATGTAAAACTATTTGATTTTTTTATAATGATCATTTCCTTATGTATATGTGTATATATTTTATTTCCCAATTTTTCTGTTGTGTATTCAGCTTCCTAAACTATTTAGAAGATTTAAAACATCAAAAACACCAAATAATGAAACCAAGGGCATGTCATATAACTACCAATTTACTGTAACCCACTATTTCCCATAAACTTTTGCATATGATTATCTGAACAATAAGCTAACAGAGTAAATATATCACCCTGAATTGTCTTGGTTTTTGATGGCTGGTTAAATTGGGGTTTGGCTTACTATTGGAAAAGGACTAGGTCTCCATAGTCGTCTATATCACCATTCTTACCATACTAACCTTATTCTGCAAGCCAGGGAGTCAGTGTAGAGACTTCCTAATCTCAAGAGACAACATCAAAACATTTAAGATCTCTGAGAACCCACTTTGATATAAAAGAGTAGCAGAAAACTAGTTGTCATTAATGCAGTCAAACAGAAAGATGAAGTTTCTTTCTCACTCTGTAAAGAACTCATTTGGGTGCATATCAGTCACTAGGAGCTCCTGCAAAGTTTTAACTATTTCCATCTCTTCTTATATATTCACTAAAATTAATGTGTTTAAATATCTTTGTTTCAGGTGGAATAGTCACTGGTTGCTAGTCAGGCAAACTTCAATAGACCTGCTTGTTTATGATCATTGTATTGGACGTTAGACTAAGGATCCTGTATAGAGAGAGTCCTCTGAACTGCAGCCACTCTGCCCAGAGCTGTGCTGATTGTTGTAACTATGCCCATTCTTAATTTTCTGTACTACATGGATACAGGTGCCCTTGACTTGTTTCTCTTTGGTCAATTTCCCCAGGAATCTCTGAACTTCACTCATTTGTGACCTATCCAATATATTCATAATGTGTGGAAGTGGGGAAAGGGGGATCCTGGAAACCCTAGTAGTAGCAGGGAAAGCATTTATTCTGTCCATATTGCCTTCTTCCTCTACAGCCCTTAAAAAGGGAGTTCTAGCCTTTAAAAACAGCTACTCCAGAGCTAGGCCCAAATCTGCCTCAGCCAACCAAGCAAACTATGCAAGTCACTATTAGCTTGTACCATAAATCAAGCCTATGCAGATGGATGCCCTATAATAATTAAGTTGTCAATCAAAATTATGTTAAGTCATGCAGAATGTATAACACCCAGTCCCCCCCCCCCCCGTTTCTGTGGTGGTATTGTGTTCCCCAAAATATTGTGTACTCTAATAAATTTATTTGGGGTCAGAGAACAGACAGCCACTAGATACAAAGGCTAGAAAATGGTGGCACTCACACCTTTAATCCTAGCATTCCAGAGATAGAAATCCCTCTGGATCTCTGTGAGTTCAAGGCCACATTGGAAATATCCAAGCATGGTGACACACGCCTTTAATCCCAGAAAGCCAGCCTTTAATCCCAGGGAGTGGTGGTAGAAAGCAGAAAGATATATAAGGCGTGAGGACCAGAAACTAGAAGCTTTTGGCTGGTTAAGCATTTGGCTGGTTCAGCATTCAGGCTTTTAAGCAGCAATTCACCTGAGAGCCATTGGGATGAGGACACAGAAGCTTCCAGTCTGAGGAAACAGGACCAGCTGAGGATCCGGCGAGGTGAGATAGCTGTGGCTTGTTCTGTCTCTCTGATCTACCAGCATTGACCCCAATAACTGGCCTCGGGTTTGATTTTATTAATAAGAACTTTTAAGATTCCTGCTGTTCTGGTTCCCCAGACAAATCATATTTCCTTCTAGATATATCCTTTCTCACTTTGATTATTACCCTAAAGCCCTTCACTTTAGATCTTAGTCACAGGACGAAATGCCTAAGAGACAGTGATGAAAATCTGTTTTTGTTCTCTGGCAAAGACAACACAAGGGAAAGCCTTACTGGGGAGGCCGAAGGATCAAGAAGCCATAATAGCTCAGTCCCTGTGCATTGGTCAAGAGAACATGGAAAGTTTGTGAAGATAGCTCTAGCCAGATCCTTCACTTCATGCACTTGGTTTGTTACATTACTCAGCTAGCCAGTTGCAGACCACAGTGAGGCTCCTTAAATTTTGCTGTCATAGTTCTGTTTAGGTATTTGATGTAGACATTTCTAGAAAGAACCAAGATTAGCTGTTTGTATCATAAGCTGTACCATGATATTAAAAGCAACCACATGACTCATATTCCTCTACCTTTTACAATCCATAGATGGCAGCAGAATCTCTGTGCTCCACTGCTCCTTCCTTCATGGAAAAGTGTCCATGTGATTTAAGATATTTCCTTGGGGTATGAACTTGGCCACCACAATTCACAAATTAGTGTTCATCAGAAGCTTTTTCTGACATCACCTGCTAGCCAACTCCAGATACCCTACTTTCTCTTTTGTTTGGTACCTCATTCCCCAATAATAATCTCTTTGATGTATTATTAGAGTGTGTTTATTAGTAAGTGTTATTAATCACTGTGATGTGATACCAAAAGACCTGAATAGTTTGCAAACAACAGGCATGTGTTTCTTAAGGTTCCTTAGGATAGAAGGTCAAGATCAAAGTGCCAGTAGATGTGATTCTGCTTCCAGTATGGCCAGCCAAACTCCCCAGTGTTCTCTGGTCTCCTTGTGAGGTCACTAATGACATGCCTAAGGACTAAGCCCTTAGCTTCATGCTGCTGCTCTATGGCTTAGACTCAGTGAATGTGCAGGCACATGGCAGGGAGCTGCACAGCAAGGAACACAACTAAATTTCCGGCAGCTCCAGGGCAAAGGAGGGTGCACTTCACCATATAAATGTCCAGAACCCAGGAGAGCAGCAGGCTGTACATAATTTAGGCCAAGGATCAGGTTTGCCATCTCCATCTTGGCCCTTTAATACTAGCATAGGTTTTGATACATGGTAATTGCATGATAAATGATAATTGAATTGTTAAGATTATACAGCTAACAACTACTTCAGTTTCTGTCTCACTTCTTCCTGCTCTGAGGTTGGGACTGAACAGAGGTATGTAATCCCTCTGAGTAGATGTTATGTAATGTGAAGAATCCCAGTTTACGTAAGTTGGTGAGTGGTACCTTCAGTGCTCGTGCCCTACCATTCTCCTCTGTGTTAGAAGGCCTCCCTTGCTCTAACAGGCAGTTCTCACTACACCAGCTACATTGTGTTCTAGAATAACAACTCAACATGCCAAAAACAGATTGTCCTTTGATTCTCAGGTGTGTAATTTAGTAGGTTGGTCATACTCAGTTCCTGTAGACCCCATTGTGCTCCTTTGTGAGAGTGACTGAGTGATTCTCATTCTAGAAGGTAGGGAATTATAGCAGCTTTCCTGTTTTTCCTGCCTCTACCATCATTGCAGAGTCCTGGACTGGAGCTGATTAACTTCAGTTTTTTCACCAACTAGCTACATGGTCTTTGGTGTTCATTACTTGTGTTTGATCTTTTGTAGTTAAGTGTTTTCCTGTGTCCCACCCAGTCCGCTGCTGCTCAGTCTCAAACACACAGAGGCTTATATTAATTAAAACTGCTTGGCCATTAGCTCAGGCTTACTACTGACTAGCTCTTACACTAACTCAGCCCATTTTTGTTAATCTATATGTTGCCACATGTTCCATGGCTTTACCTGTGTGCCATTACATGCTGTTCCCTGGACGGCAGGATGACATCTCCTGGCTCAGCCTTCCTCTTCCCAGAATTCTCCTTGTCTGCTTATCTCACCTATACTTCCTGCCTGGCTACTGGCCAATCACCATTTTATTTATCAACCAATCAGAGCAACACATTGACAGCATACAGAGCACCATCACCCATGAGTCTTTGGCCTCTTCATTTTGGGAAAGTCACAGTAGATTATTTCAGGATTTATATTTACTTCTAAAATAGATTTATTATGCAGTGAGAGTGTGAGTATTTTTTAATGTCTGTGGAGAATTGTAAGGAATAGAGAAGAAAATATGTGTGAAGTATTTTGTAGATCAAGTGCACAAATATTTGTAATTACTAAATACGTATTGAGTATGTTGGTAGAATTTTTGGTATAGATACATGTGTTGCCCTGTCCCATAGGGTATTTCCAACCAAGTATATGCAGATAGAAAGCAAGCTTTGAGTGACCCCAGGAGTTGTTTTCAGTGCAGTGGCCAATGGAACAAGTCGTTTGTTTTCTTTGCTCAAGAGAAACCTTTCATATAATTCTTTAAGAAAGGTAAGTCTGTTTTATATTGTTTGTCTTTAGGCAGTCAGTCAAGACGACTGTGCTTTACACCCTGGTAGAGATGTGTGTGTTGTGGATGAGATCAGAGTTGTTACACAGACATGTTAACTAAGTAGTCCTGAGCCTCGGGACACTACAGAGCAGATTTCCTTTGGACACATAGAGTCCTGTATATGCATGGAGAGAATCAGACTTAAAAATAAGTTTGCTCTCTGTGAAATTAAGTAAATCTTGGAACAGTTCATTTCCTCTAACTGACAGCATCACTTCATGCAATGAACAGTTACATTTACTGTCTTACTCTTAACTCTTCATCCAGAAGATGCTTTGGAAATCACAGCTGAAGTGCGTGTTCCTTCTTCAGCTCTTGAAATAGAGTAAGGTTTGTTGAGAGTCAAGTGACTGAAATTTGGGCCCAGTTCGAATATAAACCCCATTTACCAGGTTTATAACTATTAAGAGAGGCCCCTTTCATTAAAGAAAATGCAGAGCTTGGAGAGATGCAAATTTCCCTGCAGTATCCTGCTGGGACATCCAGTGTGTTTCAGTACCATTAATTCCAATCCCCTTAGCTGTTGTCCTCAGCCTCACCATGCAAATTAGAATTCAGAAACACACTTTCTCTTTCTGCCCTCTTCCATCAGAGAAATATGAAGGTCAGAAGATTGATGATGCTCTTTAAGTTTGTATGCAGAGAAATAAACTTGGTTTTTATAATTTGCAGTGCTCTGCACATGTGAAAATCTAAGGATAATTAGTTGTTATTGCTTTAACATGATGAAGACAATAACTTCTCCATAAGAAAAGCTCCATGGTTAATAAATTTTGTCTTCTGGTTGATTGACTGGCTAATGGAATCAGAAAAATATTTTATGGCTGTGCTTTACAATACTGCTTCACTCCCTACTAGAAAGGTTTATGGCTGGTGTTTGTTTTATTTTGTTTTTTATCATTTGTTTTGCCTCTTCCTCAGTTTTATTCTTTATTCTTATTTCTGATTCTCAATTTAACTACTATATGTGTTGAAACTTAAAATTTTGCAGGGGAGAATCATAACACTGATGATGGTGCTTGTATACATTAATTCTTTGTATTGTCTCTTCTGTTGGGGTTGTACATTGGATATTTTATATAAAAATCCAGACCTAAAATTTAAGTGCAGTGGAAATGCACAGTAGGATGAAAATGAGTCTAATGTCAGTTTTCTTAGCTGTGTTGCTTTTAATCAGCTGGTGCAAAATACTTCTTTGGAACCTGGGCTAATTGACTTTTGCCTTCCTCATGAGCCCCTGTCTGAAGCCTTTGTTTGCTGTTGTATTTCCATGCCTATGTGGCTTGCTTCTGCAATACTTCTATGGCTTGTCTTTCTTAGCCATGTGAGCCCAAATAGAAGGCCTCCTTGCCATTAAAATGGCTATGTCACTTCTCTTTGACTATGGATGATGGACCCTGTGCCCTCTGGCAAGGCCTGACTCAGACATGGGTCAGTGAGTAGTGCCCACTCAGCAGTTATTTTGGTTTGGGGCTGAAGTTCCTTGAATTCCAGGAGATAAGGCCCTCTTTGTTTCTCTGAGTCCACTGCCAGACACCCAACCATTTGATAGTAGATGCTGCCAACCTGAGCAGTGGGGGCAGGCATCCTGCTCTCCCTTAACATGGCCTGAGATGCCATCCTGTCAAGAAAATGGAGATGGATCGCCCTGCTCTAACCTCATCATACATCACTGTCAAGCAAAGCTGCTGCCTCCTAAAGATGGGCCAGCACAGACGAAGTACCTTTTCTGGTGGCAGATGTTACCTTGGATTGCTTATGGGGATATTAGTGATGAGGGAGTACAAAAGGTCCACTGCAGAAAGCTCTTAATTCCCCAGGAAGCTTTTCATGTACAGGCTCTCCTAGGACCTTCACATTCTGGCTGGCTGTTGGGCCTTTGTGGTCCCATCTCTGAAGATAGTGACTCATTCCTCAGTGAAAGTGTTTTGATATTTCTTCTTTGTTTTATTGAAAGTGTTTCTGAGGCAGACAGATAGTGGCAGTACACATCCACTTACTCCACTGAGAGAAGGCCATCTTCCTGCTCCACGATTTGAAGAGGAGTGGGCAGGAGTTTTTAAGAAGTAGTCTTTCCAGTCTTGATGTTCCTCTCTTTATTCTCTGCACTTCCAGACAAGCTCTCTTAGTTTTCATTCCTTATTTTTTCTCCAATTGGAGACCTTCTCTACTTTGGAAGTGTCAGATACTAGAAAGTTTACAAAACTCCATTTCAAAGAAAAAGAGATAGTAGTCTGATTATGATTGTGACCACTTCCCTATCCCTCTCACTTACTTTTATCAAATCAATTAAAAGTAATTACTTTAAAAATTACAAACCTCATAGTTAGCTTGAAAGCAGCCAAGAGTTTTGACAAAAATGCCAGGAAAGAGTAGTGCCCCTGAGCCATCTTAGCCAGGGCTTACCCCTGCACAGAGCAGAGCAGGGCCACTCTTGTGCAGACTTTTCTCTCTGCTGAACTGTCCTTCTCTCAGTGCTGTTGTTCTTCCGCCAAGTCATGGAACTTCTTCCTCGGGCCAGAATTGTCTTGTGTGCGGCAGGCCAGTTGCCCGCAGTGTTTGATGTGCCCTTGTTTTTGTTGTCTGCTGGTGGTCATGTGGCCACAGTTTATGCCCTGTGTATTTTCTTTGGCTTCGCCTGATGTTGTTAGAGCTAATACCAGTCATTACTTATTTTAATTGGGCTGTTTTATAAGGTAGTAACTAGGAGACCATATTAAATACCTTGTCTTTAAAACATTCATTTTAATTGTTAAAACTTGATAGACTTCTGCCCAGATATAAGAAGACTTCCATGGCATTTTCTTGGTGTTTGTTTGTTTGTTTGTTTAGAACTAGGGATCTAATGTAGGGCTTAGATTTGCCAGCCAAATGCTCCAGTAACATTACACTCCATCTACAGCTTTTCAAGGGACTGATACTGTGTCTTGCAGCAGTATATCCATGTGTAAGATATATGGATGTAGAGTTTTATAAGAGATTTTAAAAGGAAAAATTGTCTGCCTTTCCACTGTTGCCTATTCTAGATCTTGGTGTTTAATTATCTCATTTCAGGTCTGCTGTGTCATT